AAAGTTAGGACAAAATCGTTCTTTTTGTTTTTTGTTAGATGGGATTTTCTGCCTCTGAAGCAAATCTCGGCCCTGTAGAGTGAAACACGAGCTCTCACCTGGAGAGAGGTCCCCTGGTTTAGCAGTTCACAGCTTTTGGTGCCACGGGATGCTACAAGAGCATAACTAGATGAAAGAAAGCAACTTTATCTGTTGCTAGAAGAAGAAATAGAGCTCCAGACTGCTCAGACAAAAAGATAATTTTTTTACAAATCAATTAAACTGTGTGGACAGAATGACAGAATGACAACCCAACTGCTTAGTACCCGCCTACGCAAGCGTGGCGAGTCCAACTAGCTAAAGCCAGAAGAATAGAAGAGAGACACATGTGCATGTATATACATGTACATGTAAAATCAAAATGGCTCACTCTTTCTCTTCGGCCACTTTATTGACAGCTGCTACACACTTGAGTAGTAACTCCTTCCTAACACTATCAGAGAAACTACCCCACACCAACAACAATAACTGGAGATGAGTAACAGGTAGATCTGATAGAGAGATAAGGAAAGGAAATAAGTACATGTAATACATGTAATATACATGTAGTGTACATGTACAAGTAGTAGTGTTTAATTATACAGTACATGTACCTTCTTCATGGTCATTTTCATTTGATGCATTTTCTTCAAGTGTAGACAAAAACCTAAAAGACACATGTATACATGTACATGTAACTAGTAAATTTCATTATATTCTAGTAATTAAAACACAGTATAATCAAAATTTATAATCAGAAAATTAAAGATATCTAGTAAAACTGAAAAAAATTTTCAGTATATCTTAGGATATTCCTGTACATCTTAGTAAAACACAGCATTTTCCAGTAAACTCACCCTCTCCATATATTAACACAGAGTGGATCATCGTTATTCCTCGCTGCTCTAATAACCAGTACACTGGCTAGTAAAGACAGAGATGATGGTATAATGAACAACGGCCAGCAGCCAGGCAATAGACCAAGGTCCCTTAATAGCGGCCCATGATGCTCAAAACTAATAGCCTCTGAATCAACAAGAGAGTGCAAGAGCTGAGGTACGATACAAGAGAATTCGGAGACCGATAAAAATTTCGAAGAACTCTCTGAGTCTGTGGGCGTGGTCTGTACGTTAAGGAAGATCCATGAAAGGGCGGAGACCTGTCCGAGGGTGATAGTACCTGTTAGGTGATCCCTCAATAGCTGGGACCTGTTCTGAAGGACACCATTTAATAAACATTTTAAGGAGAACAGGGAGAGGCTTTGATAGAATAATGGTTTCCTTTTGATGTCCAGACCCTCGACTTTCATTCGGTAATATTTCG